GGCCCGGCGCCTTCTGGGGCCCAGACCCCCTGCCCGCGTGTCTCCCTCGCTCTTCGGCAGCAGGAGGGCTCACGGAGGGCTTGGGGGCGCCCTGGCGCCAGCCGGCAGGTCGGGCGCTCAAGCCACATCTGTCCGCACTGTGGGTCTGCCCCCAACTCCGGCCGCTGCGGTGGCCAGAGGCGCCCGGGCTGCCCGGCGGGGTGTGCCCATCGGTGGCTGCCTTTGTGCTGAGGCCTCGGGGAAGGGACTAAAAATAGCTTGGGCGGAGATGCTGGCTATTTTTAGCCTGAGTGGCGGGCCCTCCCAGTTCCCCCGGTCAGCGGCCCTTGGGCCCTGGCGGCGGGTGGGGGGGTGTCGGGATCCACTTTCCAGGGTCCCCACCCCTCCTGGGCGTGCCCGCCGTCCGGATCCCGGGGTGAGCGCACAGCCAGCCCCTGGGGAGGGCAGCTGGGCAGATAGAGCCTGAGGGGGTTAGCAAGTCTTGGGCATGGGGAGGGGTTGCCCGAGGCCAGCTTTCTTCATCACCGCCCCCTCTCCCTGCCCCCCCCCCCCCCCCAGCTGCCCGAGCCTTTTGTTGGGCGGGGAGGTTGTTTTCTATTTTGGGAAGGTGTTGGAATAATTTCCCTGGCTATTTTTAGCTGGTTTGGGGATTCCTCCACCCAGGCTGGCCACCCGCCTCTCCTTCTTCTGGGCCTCCTCCCCCTCCTCCCCTTCCTCCCCCCTCCTCCCTGCTGACCCAAGGCTTGCCTCGGTCGGTCCGGTCGCAAAGGGCAGACGAGGACACACAGCCCCCTGGAGACCGGCATCTCCCTGGGGCAGACCTGGAGCGGGGAGACCCCCATATTTCCTGGTTGGCGTGAGGGAGAGGGAGGTCTCAAGGGCGTTCCCCCACGCCAGGTGAGCCAGACATTCTGGCCTCCAGGAATCCATGACATCCCACAGATGAATTCCATCTCCAGGGCAAGGTGGGGCTCCCCAGTCTCTGACCTCTCACCTCCTTTCAGGGTGGTGACAGGTCTACTCTGCTGAGAACCAGTCTTGACCGCCACACCCTTTGCACGCGGGGGCTCCCATGTCCCCGAGAGGAAGGTCGGCTTGGTGAGGGTGGACTGAGGCACAGAGAGGACGCAGGAGTGGGCCACACCTTAGGCTCGTTCCCCGACGGTTTCAGTCCATCCACACTTTACAACTGAACAGCTGGGTAACCTTGGGGTATTGACTTTATCTCCCCTTGCCTCAGCTGCCACCTTCAGGAACCCGCGGTAATTATTGAAATGGAGTCATTGTAAACATGAATGCGAATACACGAAAGTTCTTAGAGGAGGTCCTGGCAGGCGACGGAGCAGGTGGCTCCGGAAAGGACACTGTGATGGCTGGAGTCTGGCTGGAGATGAGAGGGAAGGTCGCGGTTCTAGCTGGCTCCACACACACCCTGTGACCACTGTCCAGTCACCTCCTGACCCCTCACAGTCCTTGAGGCTGGCAGGAGGGACCCCACACTACAGATGAAGAAACCAAGGCTCTGGAATGATCTCATGGCCAAGGGTCTCATGACTGGTGACACACGGGAGGCCAGTGTGGTCTCCTGGCTCTGACCCACACCGTATTCCATAGCTGCCTTTTGCATTCGGCAAATATTTGTTGGGCACTGAGTGAATTTCCTATGGCTGCTGTAATAAGTCACCACAAATGTAGTGGCTTAAAGAGAAGAGATTTGTTCTCTTACAGTTCCGGAGGTCAGAAGTCAGAAATCGGTCTTATTGGGCTCGAGGTTTCTGCAAGACTGTGTTCCTTCTGCAGGCTCCAGGGGAGAATCCACATCCCTAGCTTGTCCAGTTTCTAGAAGCGCCCTCCCATCCCTTGGTCCGTGGTCCTGCCTCACATGCCCGTTCCTGTGCCTTCTAGCGTCACCTTACTTCTCTCCTCCACTCTGACCCTCCTGCCTCCCTCATGATTTTTTAAGTGTTTATTTATTTTAGAGAGAGAGCACAAGCAGGGGACGGCCAGAGAGAGGGGGGACAGAGGATCTGAAGAGGGTTCTGCGCTGGCAGCCGTGAACCCAGTGTGGGGCCTGGACTCATGAACCTCGAGATCATGACCTGAGCTGAAGTCAGATGCTCAACCGGCTGAGCCATCCAGGGTATTCTCCCCATCTCAAGATCTTGAATTTAGTCCCATCAGCAAAATTTGTAAGATACGCAGGTTCCAGATATCAGGATGTGGATATCTTTGTGGGGACCATTATTCACCCTACCACAGGCAGCTCCTTTGGCCAGACCCTGCTTGGGACGGGGCAGCAGGGAACACTGACAGGTGCCTGCCCTCCTGGAGCTCACAGTCTGGGGTCCGTGGCCCCACTGATCAGGTGGTCACAATGATGAACAAATTCTTATAAATAGGGTTGCCAGATAGAATGCCAGATACCCAGTTACATTTGGGTTTTAGATAAACAATAAGTAACTTTTTAGTATAAATATGTCTCATGTAATAATACGTCTCATTTAATAGTTGAGTCATACTTGCACTGAAAAAAACAAGAAAGAAAGAGCTGTATAGGACTCCTGTGTGTGACTAGGCCACAAGCTGTAATTAATCATGGAAAGATTTAATCGGAAGTGACAAGCCGAAATGTGTGTTAAGATCACCCAGGCTCTGGAGTAGAGAAGGGCTCTGCACCCACGTGCCCACTCACAGCCGGGGGGCGGGGCTGCTTACTGCCTTTTCTTGCCTCGGGGGTGGGCGGGCCCCGGGCTGGAGGCTCCGCCCCTCGGACTGCACTTGTGAACACTGCCCCCTTGAACTGCCGGCAAGTTCAGCCAATCGGAGGCCGCCTTGGAGGGCCCGCCTCTCCCCGCGCCTCGTGCGCAACCTCCAGAAGAGCCTGGTGGCGTGGGGTCAGGGGGCAGGTTCCGGGGAGACCCCGGAGGGCGGCCACCTGCTTCCGCTCCTCCTGCTGCCTGCCGGGTCGGCGGTGGACGCGAGGCCCAGAGAAGGGGGTGCGTTCTGTTACCCGGGGGCTTCGGGGGTTCGAGACGCTGGAAGGCGGCTCCGCTCGCTTATTGGCTCCCGAGGCCCCCGGAACCCGTTCCTCCACCGGCGACCCCATCCTGGGACACCGCCCCCTCCCTCCTTCCCTCACACCCCTCGTCCCGGGTCACCAGCCCCGACCCTGGACACCGGACCCCCACCCTGGGGCACCAGCCCCCCCGGCCCCCCCGACACCATCCCTCCCCACCACCCTTTCCTGCCCAGGCACCGTTCCCCCATGGTGGGACACCGAATCCCCACCCTGGGGCACGGGGTACTTCGGGGACACGACCCCTCAACCCCCGCCCACACAGTTGCCCCTTCGCCTGCCCCACCCCCAATACCAGCCCCCAGGACACCATCCCCCCCACCCTGGACACGTCCCCCCGGGATACCAGCTTCCCACCCCAGAACCAAGGTCCCCTGGGACACCGTCCCCCATCTCCCACACCATCTCCTGGACACTATCCCCAACTGTCCCCACCCCCAGGGTATTGTCCTCAGCTCCAACACCAGCACTCCCCCCCCCCACCTCCAGCTCCTACACACACACACACACACACACACACACACACACA